CTCCCTCCCTCCCTCCCTCTCTCTTTCTTTCTTTCTTTCTTTCTTTCTTTCTTTCTTTCTTTCTTTCTTTCTTTCTTTCTTTCTTCTGCACTTTTGGTTTCATCTTTCTTCTTTCTTTTATTCTAAAGATTAGTTTCTGTTATTTTTATCTTTATTAAAATCTTAATAAAGTTATTTGAAAAAAAAAGATAATATCAACCTTCGCTGCACCTGAAGGAAGTTTGGGACTTTCTATGGAATGGGTTTTATTTCAAGAAAAACTTTTCAAACGTGTTCTGAGCTGAGCTGTGAAGATCCAGGAAAAGCAATGATGGTTGAAATCAGTGCTTGTATCAATACAGCTGTGCATTTTCGGGGCCATCTGGATGTCTTTGCAAAGCCGGGGGGGCCTTGATTCCCTTGAAGGAATTTGGCATCCGTCAGATGGTCGGGGCCACAGCTAAGAGAATTCCCTATCAGCAGGAACTATAGTTTAATACATCTGGAGGACCGGTTTGTCTTTACTGTGTCTGTGTCCTACAACATATTATCTTATAGTTATATAAAATTTAAACATGTTGAAAAACTAGAAGCTATCCAAGTACTTCTCATAACAGATTCCTTGTCTGGCATGACATTAAAATTCAAAGTGATAAATAGCTCCTTATTTTTATCCTCCCACAGACAAAGAAGGTACCATCTTTCCCAAGCTTTGTTGATGGTAAGTACCCTTCTGCTTATAAGGTTTATAGCTCTAAAAATACAGGGAGGAAATTCTAACAAACCCAAGTACAGTGTGAGTACTGATGATGCTACCTAATTGGGTAACAAAACGTCTGCAAGAAAACCACCAAGCTCAGAGAGCGCCAAGAACGCCACATTCAACCCTGAGCTACAGAAGTTCTCTTCTATTGGGATTTAGAAAGTTCTTAAGAGCAATGCTTCTGTAACTGGAAGAGTCCCCTTCCCTTCCTAGAAACTAGGGCTTGATGTAACTCTAGATTAAACACACTGGCTTTTTCAGAAGTCTCCCACTGCAAGGGGGATCAGACCCATGCACATGGTTACAGTATCTGCAACCAGGGTGCTTAAATATTACTTTAATAACTCGCGCAGGCACATGGCCTAATGAAATTTAAATTTATCTCTATGATTGATCTTTGCTGGGAATCTTGTTGACTGTAGGGGGTGCGTGTTTCACTTCACCAGTGTCTCATCTGTCCTCTTGCAAGGCTGATACCAAACAGAATTTATATCTATCATTAAAGCTGGCGGAGAGAAAATCTCTCATTTTTTTCCGAGAAGATAAATGGGCATAATTGGGGAGAAAGCTGCCTAGACTGGGTCAGCTCCAGAGGACGCTCCAGTGAGTAAGACAAGCTTATTCCTGGGTAGAAATGGGGAGGATTGCAACATTGGCTGAAAGGTGGTTCACCCACTGCTATCACTTCCCCCATACAATGCAACACAGAGTATAAACTGGATTGCTTGCAGAAAGGTATATTTCACAGCCCTGATGCCACTACTTAGAAGCCCTGGCCATAGCTACCTGTTTCCATTCTGGTGGAGGCATTCAGATAAAGATCTCCACTGATGATGGCACACAGCTTGGCAAGCATCAGTAAATGCATCCTAGGACCTTTTCCCCTTGATCTTCCATGGTGTGCAGGAAGGGGTCAGGTCTGCGAACCAACCAGAAGCCAGGAGGACTAGAGCCAGAAGCCATGACCCACCCAAATAGTTGGCAAGCATCTCATGCTTTTGCTTCTGCATCTCCATTGGTTCCCAGTGTTTGGAGGAACAGTTGTTTTGACTTTCAAAGGCTTGTTTCTCTTTGTCTCCACCTGTAGAACTTGAGATCTTCAGAGATCTTTGATTACCTCCACCAAATGGAAAGGGAGCAGATGACTTCTAAGGACAAGGGCTTCTAAGTGGTGCCATCCTGACTCAACTGCATCTTTCCCAAACAGTTTTGTTTAGCACTTACTTGGGTACTATTTTGGCCCCGGGCCAAGATCTGTCTGTTTGTTTAGGCCTTCTACTCTCCCTCAGCATGAAGGTGACCTAGAAATATTCTTAAGTGAGCAAAACTATGACTTAGAGCATCTTTACCACTCCAGTACTCTGCCGTGAGCTACAGGATTTGACATCTATAAATGCAACCAACCAACCAACAAATAAAGTGTTCTCAGGCTCTGGATGAGCCCTATCAACCACCCTACCAACTGATCTGCACAGATAGGATGAGCCATAGCTTGGTCTGGTTCTCTTTTTCTCTGCTATATATTAGTTTAGTTCTTGGCAAGGCCTCCTGGTTATTGTCTTTAGATTTACATTGGCCTCTAAGCTGCCCGAGCCTGCTGCTTTAGAGGTGATCAGCCCCAGCTGATACCCTCTTGTAAATGTCTTTTAGAAGACCAGGAAGCCCCAGTAAATTGACATGAATCCTCTTCCTCGTCTCTCCTCTAACCCTGACATGCTTAAATGAACAAGAACAATAACCAGCTAACCAGCTGGGGAATTCCCCTAGCAGTTCTTTTTCCTTGGGAAGAACATGTGTCTAGCGTAGGAACAAACCCCGGGCTTGCTGTGACTTTAAGAAAGGGGGGAAATCTGGCCATGAGCCTGCTAGAAGAGCTAGCTGGAACCTATCTCTTGATTTGCCACATATATCTCTCTGTGATTTTATTTTTTTCTCCTTCTCTTATGAGAACAGCCTTTGGCTCCTGCTGCAGCAAGCATGTTTCTATTGTTCCAGTGCTAAAGGGGGAAATCTCCTTCTCTACACTTTCCACTGGCTTAGATTTGGAGATGGCAAGATCTTTCGGTGCACAAAGAAGAGAGCTTCAAGCCATCCTAAGTCTGCACGTTCTCCATTTTAAGAGTATCTCAAGGACCTTTTCTTAATTAAGCCTTGGGGTCTCATAGCCACACATTTATCTATGGTAGCAGTGTAAATATGCAGAAACAAAATTCTAATAAGACTAACTAAAATCATTTGAGAATTAATTTGTGTGAATTTTTTAAACTGATATTTAATTAATGTTAGTGAAACCCAAAGAAATTAGTGACGTTGTACCTATTATCCAGAACAATAGAGGGAAGGGAACACGTTGGCCTAGAGCTGGAAAATCACATAAAAAGAGATGTCAAGTGACTAGGCTGACAAGACATAGCATCTTCTCTTTGGAATAAAAATAAAGGTTCCGCTATCAGTCCTAATTTCACCTCCTAAATGGACCAGAACCAATATTAAACAACTATTACATTCCATTTCAAAGTGTATTATGCTGGTAGCCTTATAGTCTTGATTATGGGCTATCGGTAGCTCTGCTTGGCTCTCTTTTGCCTGCTATGTTGGACTAACATGTTAAATAATTAAATGTTAATGAAAACAAGTGTTTTTCCCTTTTCAGGATTTTTTGGAGGGGCGATAAACTGTTTCGGCTTGTTTGATTAGCTCTGAGTCTCTTGCAGCATCTTCATATTTTCAGCCAGCCAGAAACTTTGCTTCTGAGTTCTCTGACCCGTAATCAAACAGGCCAAGTGCTCTCTTGAAATATTTGCTAGAGCTGCTTTGCTGCACTCTTTGTCATCTGTAGACATTCACAGGTGCAGAATGTCTGTTAAGATACGAGGACATAGGATTGTAGCTCTTTACTCTGTTTAGGCTGCTTCTGTGTGAACGGATGTAATTGCCTGCTGTCTGCCTTCAGTTCCAGGGCCTTGCGAGCCTGAGGACCTCATTGACGGCATCATCTTCGCAGCCAATTACTTGGGCTCTACACAGCTGCTCTCAGAGCGCAACCCTTCCAAAAACATTCGGATGATGCAAGCCCAAGAGGCAGTGAGCCGCGTCAAGGTAGGGCTCTTTGCAATCCCTGGGAAGGGCCAACAACCTTGGATGATTGAACTTTCGAGACTGAGCAACATCTGCTCCTCTTGGAGGACTGTAGCTGTCCCCTTGCTGCAGAAAACCAGTATGCAGAGGGGCTTTCCAAGTGCCTTGAAGTCAGCATCATGACTAGGTTCAGTGATCCAGGTTTGTAATGCAGCTCTTTTTATATTTATGTCACATACATAGCATGTGCGCCTGCACACACACACACAAACACACACACACAGTAAAGAATTGATTTTCCCAGTGTAACATTTCTTCTTTGCGCAGTACGTGTGTATAGCTGCATGCAGAACTTTAGATCAACCTTTTCAACCTCATTTCAACTTAACCTGTCTGGAGGGCACCAGGCTGGGGAAGACTGCTGTAGACTTTCCTGCCACCCTGTGTAAGGAGTGTTACGCTGCCCTCATATTTCTGAAGTCTAATTGGTTACACTGATCCTAATTATATGGGTGACCTCACCGCATTTATCAAACTTCCCTGCCTGTAGCCAACCAGTCTCACATTGATGGTCATGGAAGCATGGCCTGATGCTCAACATAAGATGTCCATTAAAATGTATGGAGTACCATCTCTATCCTCTTCCCCCTCTTGGCACTGTCTAACAAAGTTGTGTTGTAGGGCTATGATATCTCCTTCTCCCTGTCCTCAGTGTAATTGACTCTCCATGATGAGATTGGAGAAATACAGGACATCATGACAACATAAAATAAAATAAGTTCTACTAGGTTTTCTGGACTGATGGAGAAGACGCTGAACATGGTTGCTGTTTTTGGTGGCAATCACATCTTTATTGGTTACATTACACTTGGCCATTTTCTGCCACAGGACCCTTGAATTCTACCACTGAGCATCACTGGAGTTGGGTGGCCAATAAATTTCTAATAATAATAATAATAATAATAATTATTATTATTATTATTATTTGATAGATGGATAAAAATGCCAAATCCAGTCTAAACATCTGGCTGACTGCGACCAACAATAACAATAGAATATTCCCAAAAAGATAGTCTCTGTAAATGTCTCCCAGGCTGTTGGGGCTCAGCTTGGTCTAGCCTCACTAGTGGCTGCCATATTTAACGTCCTAGAAAGCCTGCAATTCTGGTTTATCAAGACAAAGCAAAGATCTTCTAGGGAAATCAAAAGTTCAGCTGATGTTTGAGAAGAGGACAAAGGAGCAATGAGCTTTGCCTCCCTCTGAAACGGTGCCCGATGGCTCCTTTCACCCGGGATACCCTTCTGTCAAATTCTCACTTGACATTTTTGGGAGCCCTGAAAGCAGGGATTTCCAAAAGGTGTTGCTAACTTCATAAGATGGTTCTTCTTCTCTTTTCCTCCCCCTCTTTTTATGCATTTGTCTGTTTCCCTTTGATTTATGTATTGATTTATTTATTTTTAATGCTTCTCGTTCTCCCCAAGAGGATGCAAAAGGCAGCTAAAATCAAGAAAAAAGCGGTGTGTAGACTGTTTTTCTTGAATTCTAATGTCTGTTTTACATTTTGGATTGCTTCTGGCTTTTTTCCTCCCCTGTTTAATTGTCCTTGTGCATCCTGTTGTGCTTCTCGATGTGGAACTTCATGAAGCTGTAACATTAATCTTTGTGTCTATGTTTGTATGAACATTATTAAACTATACATGTCTGGTTGGAGTGACAGAGACCAGTTGGTTTCATTGGAGAACCTTCCATTCCTCTCCAAGTCTTCCCTCCGTGCTACTGGTGCTTTTTATTTCCCCTTTCCTTTTTAATTTCGCTATACTTCGACAAACATAATATTTTTCTTTCGCAAAAGTTTATTTCCATGATTCTCGCAATAGGAGAAATGCTCAGAGGAGCATTCATTATTTATTTTCAGGATGGCTCAACAATGCTGTCTCTTCATTCTGCCACTCAGCTTTTCTTTTCTTAAGATCACCGTGTCTCGGTACTGAAGATGAGGTTGGTGGAAGCTTGGGAGAAAGGGAACCCAGAATGGATTTTTGAGTGAAGTGGCCGTGATATCGTCACTACTGAAAACAAAACACTGGAGTGCAGATGGAGCTTGACCCTTAATCCTAAACTTCCATTTTATACCTCATAGGTCGACTTTGGGTTCTTAATAAGGAGGGGAAAAAAATCAGAGTAGATCCAACAAGCCCCAAATCTGCCCATTGGGGGTCTAAAGAAGGAAAACCAACCAAAATGTGGGCAACTTATGAAGATTCTTCCTATGTTTGGTTATTGCCATAAACCTTTGTGGATGAGAGTCCCTTCACATGACACAGAAGTCACCTCTTGATCTTCAGAAAACGTTGCGGTTTCAGCTGCATCAGATTAATGCCATCGTTCCTGCTGGAGACCACGACTGAAGAAGCAAAACCTCAGGCTTAGAATCTCTTTTGCCCCATTTCCCATCCCTCACTGGTAAAGGCAGGACTCCAAAAATTTGAAGATTCACCAGGCAAACCCGGCCCAGAGAAACTTAATCTTCACAGCTAAAGCTTTGCATGTTTTTCGGAAATTAGTCATTCCGAATAGCTGTTCTGTGTTGCAGTAACTTGCTCAGTGTGCCTGTAGTACATCTCATCATGTATGGAGTAACTCTGTGAGGAACCGACCGTTTCAAGAGCATTCTCCGAGTGAATTTGCTACTCTCTTTCTCTCTCTCTCTCTTTTAGGCTTCTGAGGGAGATGCACATGCTTTGACAGAAGTGGACCTGTTTATCTCCACGCAGAGAATTAAAGTTCTTAATGCAGACACCCAGGTAAGCATAGCAGCTCCATCACTGCAGCATTCATTGCAGGACCATGAAATGATTTTGTTTGCCCACTAAGTCATGTTCCAAAGTTTCTAAAGTGACCCACTTAGACATCTAGAAGAGCTAGCTGTCTTTCTTCTGCCATCCTGCCGGTTGGGTGGAAAAGCGGAGGCGGGAGAAGATAGAGGGGGCCAGCCCTGTGCCCAATATTAGCTGTGACTTTGCCAAAAGACAGATTGGCTTTAAGACAGTTGCCTGCTCTGACTGCCAGATGTTTGGACCTTCCCCTGCAGAATTCCTCACCCAGTCTGGTCTCCTCTTGAGAATTCTGAGAGTTGAAATCAGGTGGGGAAAAGCTGGAAAATGTGCTGATCTTTGTCCTAAGGAATATAGCCTTTGACGAAGAGAAGGATCCCTGCATTTTATTTTAGAAAGGTTCTTGAACTTGCATTCCAAAGCACTATGATGTACTGTAACCACGAGGGTGGTAGCCTCTAGCACCAACATTTTAGCTCTCTTCCATGTATTTTACATTTCTTTCTCGATCACAATCCCACAAGCCAGAACGGCACTTTTTAAATCTCCGTTCTTGTCTCTTATAACATGAATGTATACAGGTCATCCTTGTTTAGCAACCACAATTGGGACCGGCCACTCGGTCGTTAAGCGAGGTGGTCGCTACATGAAACTGTGGCTGTGCTTATGATCTTCCTTCAACCTTCTTTCACTTTACAGACCTGTGAAGGTCGTCAATGCGAGGATTGGTCGCAAAGTCATTTTTTTCATCACCGTCGTAACTGCGGTTGCTAAATGAGGCAGTCGCTAAACAAGGACGACCTGTCCACCCAGGCCTGCTACAGTGACCCTCTGTGCAAGCTTCTCGTTCTACTTTCTCGTTATAGATTTTTTCAGCCAGGCAGTTGCTCTAGTCATTATGAAAAGGTCTCACTGTGGCTACCATGCCGCCTTGGGGTTTTCCTGGTATTTCATGACAAACAGTAATGGGGCAAGCTAGCTGATGCAGCAAATGAATTTCATAGTTGCATTTCACTGCCGCAACTATGCAAATAATGAAAGCCACTGTGAGGGAAGAGATGCCAGCGGCCCCCTTTGTGTAGGAGCAGCCGTAGCCAAGAGCAAAGCTTGAGAAGCTAAGAGGGTTCTGAACGAATTAATTTGCTTCCTGTCATGGCGAATCAGAGATTGCTCTCCGCAGACCTTTGTTGACTTTGATGCTTACAGCACTCTCCCGGGAAGAGCTGAAGAACAAAAGTCAAACAGCACAAGGATATAAATGTCACTGATCATGGCCAGTTTCAGTATGTCCTCACCAAGAGGTGCAGTCTGGAAGCCCTTCTTTTTATCCAGTTCAAGGGACTGGCAATTCTCCTAGGCTGCCCCCTGAAATACTAGCAAAGAGTTGAATCCCAAGGTGCCAGCCATTCACCCAAGGAGTGAAATTACATTCCAAGGCGGTACTTTGTGGGCAAACTCCTTTTGCACTGCAGTAGGAGAGGAAAAATGGCAGTCGGCCAGACCTACCCGTGACAGTCACTCTGCAGTGAGATGGGCGGTGACAAATTTGAAATATAAATAAATAAATAAATAAAATATGAAATATGGGGTCTGAACCCAGTTTGCTCATATTAGAGTTATTTTCTAGGTGGGGGTGCTTAATATGTTCGCCTAAGCAGGGGGCAGGCTGCTCTCCAGCTCTTTTCAAGTACAATTCAAGGTGACTTGGTGGTGGCGGGTGTGGAGTTGAAGGCTAAAACACCTGGATGATGCCAGGAGGCCTAGCCTGTGAAAGCAGAGTGAGATTGACTCCAAAGATGGAAGCTAATGAGGGAATGGCTAGCTTCGCAATAGTTTCGTAGCAGCAGTGGCATGGAACATGACTGTAGGCCAAACATACTTAATCAAGCCTTCGTCTAAAACTTGAATGGTGACTTTTCTTCTACTCCAACCCCAGCCTTTCCCTTGGCAGCCTCATATATGGGTGATCAGGGTGGGCATGCAAGGAGGTAATTCAGCAGATGAGTGTTTAATCTGCTGTCCTCATTTGCTGGTGAATAACACTACTTTGTGGTCTGTGGTCCAAAGAGGTCTTTTTTTCATTTCTGTGCTAAGGTAATGTGTTATAAAATCTAGATGTAGTGAAAAGAGGAAATGGCCTTGAGGGACAGGAGGAAGAAGTGCAGTTAGACTTTCAAGATTGATGTCAGGCCTTCAAGGTAGACCAGGCTAGTAACACAGTTGTGCCATGAGTAAACTTTGCATTATCCACATGTGCTGGATCACAGGCAACCTTCATGTCAACTTATGCAGTCTAGTCCCTATTGTTTTGAATTACCTAGAATGTAGGCTGGGCTAGTCCCTCTCTCTGTCTGGATGAGAGCATAGAGTCCTCCACAACCCCATCGCTCTTGGTGAATTTCCATTTGGTTCACAGTAAGCTCAAAAGTCAGGATTGTTGTTCGTTGGTGATTAGCCATTGCTGTTTGCCATATTTTTCCTCCCATAACATTTTTTAGAAATCTGCATTCACAGGAGACCCATGCAGCCTTTCTCAAGTGGCAGGGGGCTTTGGTTTTCTTTGTTTGGTCCCTTGTTCTAGGAAACCATGATGGACCATGCGCTGCGCACCATCTCTTATATTGCTGATATCGGCAACATTGTGGTTCTGATGGCCCGGCGTCGAATGTCTCGGTCAGCGTCCCAGGATTGCATCGAGACCACCCCTGGAGTGCAAGAAGGGAAGAAACAGTACAAAATGATATGCCATGTCTTCGAATCCGAGGATGTGAGTAAACAGCATTTGGAGTCATGCGTAACTCAGCAACGGTCCCTGACTGAAGTCCTTGCTTAGCTGAGCTTTCTGAAGGAAGGAAAGCTTTCTTTCGTGGGGTTTCCATTCTCATCAACCTGACTTCTTGCTTTCTTTTAGAACTGCCCCCTCTTCTTCACCCCACATGTACACACGCACACAGTTATTCTTGCCTTCAAGTGTTTGAACCCAGAATAATTTAGTTTGCTCCAATTTAATAATGAATATTTAATGAATAATTTAATAATTTCGTCAGTTCTAACTTAAATTAACCGTTGTGTGTAATGGCTGGTCCTAATGTATGTTCACCCAGATAGAATGCTATTATTTACCGAAGTGTTTGACCTGCAACTCAGCTGGGCCATTTCCCCCAAAATATCTATCTCACTCTTTAGAGTTGACTTGGCCCTCAGGGATTCTCCAGAGGAGATGTTTCTTACACACATCCTATCCGATCTTTGTAGCTGAAGATGCTAAGGGTGGTCTTCGCATAAAAACGGTGTTCAACCAACTGAGCAATTCTCTGACACCTTCATGCACATCGCTATTTACTGCAGGTCCTTGGCCAATTTTATGGTGGCGAAGAATGGTTGCAGAATAGCTACAAGTATTAAACATAATGCATGGTTGCGGAATAGCAATCAGAATGAAAGGAAATGTTTGGTTGCAGAATAGCAACCAGAATGAAAACTAATGTTACATGGCTTCAGTTAGCATTTGATTGCATTCCTTCTTATAGGAGCTGTTTTAATTAGAAGTCTATGTCATGCCCCACCACCACCATAACACAGATACTTTTACTGTCTCTGCTGTGGTGACATCTAGTGGCCCAGAAATGCCCATTTTTTCTTAAATGACCATGCAGGAATTCTATACACATAACCCTTGTGAACAATAGGATCCCACTTTCTTTGAAGGAAGCCCATGCCCCCAGCTTTTGCCAAGGCAGAGTTGATCTCAGCTGTTGAAAACTATGAATTATCCTTCTCTCCTACTTCTGTGAGGGATAAAACATTCAAGGGATTCACCTAGAGCTGTGTTTTTCAACCTTGGCAACTTTAAGACGCGTGGACTTCAACGTC